ATTTTAAAATCTCAAATATTGCCAAGTATTTAATATATTATTCATAATATGCACAAGTGAGAATGAATACCATCGTAAACTCGGAGACCGTAAGGCTGTGGCCTAGACAGGGCGTCTTGTAATACCCTATAATCATTTGCTGCCCCCTCCCAGCCAGCCAAGACATAAGTAAATAGTTTATTGGGGGTGCAGGCTGCTAAGATGTTTTGGGTGACCCCTTTTCGCCCTCTAAACCGTGCAACTAGGTCACTGGGTAACACCGCGTCGACGTGTGTGCCATCTATCAAACCAATGCAGTCCTATAAAAAATTATAAATTATACATAGTTAAATAAAAAAAAGTTTATTTGGAAAATTATTAAGTTGTATGTATTTAATTTACCTTAAAGTACGGAAAATAATTTGAGTTGTTTGCAATCTCCTCGGGAACTTCTTTTGGGGCTTGCTTCATGTACCGATCACGTAATCCATTCATTGCAGACAAGACTTTATTGAAATACCTGCTAACTGTTTCCCCTGATCTTATGAACTCAGTTCTTATTATTCTATTTTTAGTTTTGTGCCCAATAATACTCAAGAACATAGCAAGTTGTTCTTCAACTTGAACGTGTCTCGTATCTTTAAAAAACCATTTGCTTTCATTACTTCAACAAGTTTAAAAAAGGCCCTCGGTCTCATTCTAATATACGATTGGCAGCTATCTTGATAACCCTCCAATACACGTCTGAAATGAGCCTCTCTACAACTTATTTTCCTGACCCTTTCTTGCGGCGAACAATTTGGTATTCTCTTGCGCTTAGCACGCATTCTCAAAATACATGTTACCAAAGTGACCACGGCGCAGACAGCTGTATTAGCACACATCCTCTTCAATTCTTCCTCATCTTCCATATCCATCTACAACCGTTTTAAAATTATCATACAGTTACAGCTTAAGATGGCTACTTATTTCTTGTCAAAATTAAGTAGATAATTGATACAAATATTTATTTCTTTTAAAGCAAGAAATCTAATTGCAATAATAAATTATTTTAACTAATGTTGCATTCCATCTCACACAATTCTAAACAAACAAGATAGACCCAAAACAAACAAACTATATGGTTAGATCACTAATAATTTACACGCACACAAAAAAATTAAATAAAGTAAAAAAAACAGCAATTTAAGTTCTTAAAAGACTGATTTGAAACATATTATGAAATTAATCTCTACACAGATACCCGCATGAAATTAATCTACCTAACAACCTAATTCTTGCAAATTTACAAAAAATCCACTACACAGATACCCGCATGAATTATTTTGCTGTAATATTATGAAATTAATCGAACAAATCATTGAAATTGCGGTGTGCCTCTATTTATCATATGCTTCAAAATTAAATTTAATTCCTCAAATCACTGGAAAAAACGGCCAAAGTAAAAGGGGGAAATTTTTATACCTTACTGCAGAGGGGGGAAATGCCGACGTTCAAGCTCGTGGAAATCAAGAAGATCCCAACCCAAGTCGAAGAAGATCCCAACCAGAAGGGATCACCAAGAATCGAAGGCAAGAAAACCACCAACAAGCTCGTGGAAATCAAGAGCTAGGGTTTCGAGAAAGAGGCCCGAAACCAAGTATCATCGTAGACGAACAAGCGCGGGAGCAGAAGCGCGAGGAAGAGGGCGATTGAGGCGGGAGCGGCAGAGCGATTCCAGATCTAGGGATCGAAATCGTGAAGCCCAGGAATCGGAATCGACGATCAAGCTCAGTGTCAGAAATCTCACCCAAATCGGAACCCGAAGCTCGGATTTGGGTTTCTATAAAAAAGGACAACTGTAGCTACTGTGTAGAAGATGTAATCCCAAAAATTTTGCTGAACCAAACTCCAGAATAGGATTCACAAAGAATCCACAAATTACGAAAATGCCACTGTCAGAACCCAAATCCTAATCCTATTCTATAAAAGGGTGAAACAAAGAGGCCCTTAGTACCAAGCATACCCATTTTTCTCTCTCTCTCTCTCTCTCTCTCTCTCTCTATATATATATATATATATATATGATGCCTGAACTCAAAGTTTATGTTATTCAATAATTGACAATCTAGAATTTTGAAAATTGACACATACTGTGATATATTATTTATATCTATATAAGTAAATAAATTAAAAAACGGAAGTACTACTAATGTTGCTATAGCATCTTATTAAAAAAAGCTATTGTTAAGCTCCACGGATTGCTAGATTCCTCTGCACTAATAATTAGCCAGGAGACATTTCTCATGCAATTCCATATGCTTCCGTCCATGGCCAATAGAAGCTTAATTTTGATGATATCCCTCAGAGTGAAGTAATTAATCAGTTCTCTCTCTATTGCTTAATTGGTTCCTAGGGCTGGGCGTATTCGGTTCGGTTCGGTTTTAAGCCCAATCCGCATCCAATCCGAATTTTTCGGGTTCTCAAAACTCTCATCCAGATCCAGATTTTTTCCCCTTCATCCGAATATTCGGCCCAACCGAAATTCGGTTCGGTTCGGTTCGGTTTCGGTTTTGAACCGAATTAACTCCATTTCACAAAAATCTGGGTAAGTTTTAGTTATATCCAAAACTGAAAAGAAGCAATCAAAACTGAAAAGAAACAATCAAAACTGTACTAAGCCACTTAATCAAATTGTATGATCTGAATATAACTAGCTTAATACACTAGGAGGACCATGTAATTATGTAGCCTTTTTTAGAGAAAGAACAATGTTTGGCAGGCACACACACCTTTTGATGATTTTCGTTAATTTTTAGCTGCCTTTTTCTCATCAAGAATTATCTTATATCCTTGACAGCCTATACTATAGGTTAATTTGATATCCAGCACCAGCAAGTTGTATTCATGTTATCACTGAAATTTGACCAAAACACTAAATTTATCCTTCAACCTCAACATCTTGTATTGATTTACGGAAATCTCACTTAACTATATCAGCGTACTCAAATATATGTTAGTATAAACTCCACCCCACAATTCTTAAATGCTAAACATTCAGCCATAAATTTTCTTCACACCCAAGGCTCGCAGCTACTTTTTGTTTAAGAATTCGGTTCGGTTTTTTTTGGGCGGTTCAGGGGTTCAAACCGGATCCAAACCGGTTTAATTCGGTTCGGGAGGTTTAGAGACTTCTTCTCATCCATTTAATTCGGTTCGGTTAACCGATCCGTTTTTTCGGGCGGTTTTTTCGGTTGAACCGGTTTGTTTCGGTTTTTGCCCACCCCTATTGGTTCCATTGAATTAGGAAAGACAAAGTCATCCCCAAAAAAACAAAAAACAAAAGGGGAAATTTGCAAAATAGTCCGTTTTTACTAATTATTTAGCAAAATAGACCGTTTTGCTAAATAATTAGCAAAATAGATCTTTTTTTGGCCAACAGGCTAAAAAGAGGTCTATTTTTGCAAAACAACTCAGAAAACATACGGGACTAGTAGCCCCGTATGTTTTAATCACGGATTAGTAAACTCAGAAAATTTTACAAAACATTGAGATGAACTCAGAAAACATACGGGACTACTAGTCCCGTATGTTTTCTGAGTCACTAATCCGTGATTAAGTTGGCTCTAAACATACGGGACTAGTAGTCCCGTATGTTTTTTGAGTCTTGTTTTTCAAAATCGACCTTTTTTTAAAGAGGTCTATTTTGCTAATTATTTAGCAAAACGGTCTATTTTGCTAAATAATTAGCAAAAACGGACTATTTTGTAAATTTTCCCAAAACAAAAAGCCAAAATAAAAAATAAAAAAAAGGTCTTAAGTTGCTTCTTAGACCAAAATATCATCTTCTTCTTTACTAAATGATAAGTATGTAACTATCTTCTGCATGTTGAAGTACTAGCAATCCAACCTTAAACAACTGCCTACGTACTTACTATAGCAAATGTTGCATGTAGAGCATTAAGAAGAAAACCAAAGTAATCTCATAAAGCAAAACGACTTCAACACCATTACTAATTCTGTAACAAACAAGATTATCACGTAAGCCTTATTAATTATAAAGTCATGAAGTGGCCCATACGTCAATCTAACACACAAAGCGGCAAGGTAATACGAAAGCAAAGTGACAAATGTAGAAGCTAGCTACATCAGAATCAACACGGTGATTTTTTTGGTAATATAGCACGAGTGACACTGCTTATATATAATAATCAGCTCGAAATCATTTTTGAACGCAGTAACTTTACGATCTGTTGGATAGAAACTTATGAAGTTATCGATCTGAATCACTACCAAAACCATGCGTCAAAAAAAAAAGGAAGATGCGCAAGAATCGATACAGGGATGATCTGTCGTATAGCGTGAGTAGCAACAATTGCAATAATCGGTGATAGATCATCATTAACAATTGCAATAAATGTTGGATACAAATTACCAAACCACATGACAAACGAACAAGAATAAAAAAGACAAAATTTTGGTAGTGAAGTACAACTATCACCATTTATAATAATTTAGCAAGAAATTTATTTTGAATAAAAATAACATCTACAATCTGTTGGATGGTAATTCATAGAGCCTGAATCGTTGCCAAAGCTTGAGCGATCCAACAAGTCAAGCAAAAATCATTATGATGGTCTTTTATATCATGGCATGAGTAGCACCGTTTGCATTAATCGGTGGGAGATTAATCTAACTACTAATCATTCTCAATTTGTAAAGGACAAATTCAAGAACTTATCAATCTAAATTAGAGAATTCTCTCACATAACATGATCCACACCTATGTACATAGTGGACCAAGTTTGAACTCAACAGCCAAAATGAGCACCACATTTCTCTTCAAGTGAAGGATGGGTCCACATGTCACACACATAAATTTTTGATATTTATAGTACAATTATCATTTTCCAAACTAAAGTGGATCCTGATAAGATCCCAACCCAAATCCGAAACCCACTTTAGTTTTTCTGATCTTTTTACACAAAATCTTTAATAACTGATTATTACGGCGACCAAAAGCTGCTGACTTTTCCTCTCTCGCCCCTTCTCTCATGACGCTCCTTTCCTCTTTCTCTCTCTTCTTTTTTAACCCCGCTCTCTCTCTCTCTCCCCCACCCTTTTTCCTCTCAGATTTAATATTTCCCTTTTTAGGAAAAACTTTAATTCCCATGTCACCTTCTCCTCTGATCTGAAACAATCCGCAGAATTCCCATCGGATGGCCCGCGTCTCTGAAATTAAAACCTTGGCAGCAGATTTAATGTGCTAAAAAGGAGCAGCCTTGGCTGTCAAAATCCCAACTTTGCTGCAAAGTTTCAATCTTTAATTGATTTTGCTGTTTTTGTTAATAGATGGGTTGTTTCCCATGTTTTGGATCATCATCAGATAAGGAGAAGGAAGAAGGGAAGAAGGGTGATCTGAAAGATTTGAAGAAGGATAATTCTTCTACTCATCATGTGACTAGAGTTAGTTCAGGTAATTTTTTATTTTTTGGGGGGAATTAGTGATTTTACTAGTGATTTATTAGATGCCCAGTTTTGTATTTGCTTGATAATAATATTAATAATTGGATATTATTTGGAAAAGAGTTTGCGTTCTTATAGTTGAGATTCAGAGTTGCCAGACCTGGAGATTGTGGGATATGTCACGAGAATTTGGTCCTAGACAAGTGTCTGTTTGATGTGAGGACTGATTTTGCCCTTAAAACAGTTTGATATCTGGTGGATTTAGGACATAATGTTTTGTTTTGGATTTGTATGGATTTATTTTTTGCCTCATGGAATAATTGCCTCTTTATTTAACAACAGCCACTTTGTTGATTTTATGATGGTTATTAGGGAATAGCATGTATGTAGAATTTCTGAGATCTACTCTTTGGTATATTTTGTTAAATATTAGTGATNCTTATAGATCAAAATAGAGAACATTATTATAATTATTTTGTTAGAAAATGTTCAGAATTGCACAATATTTTATGACCATAGAATTCCATCTTGTGATGCTTCTATGTGTAAGCAGTAGAAGCATTAAGTTATATTATTAGTGTCTGAATGGCCTTTAAGCTCAAATGCACAAGTCAATCTTTACTCATTCACACAAGAAACTACGGATTGAATGCTTCAGATATTTGATCTCTGTGTAGTTTGCAAATTAAGGATCAGTGTTATCAAGGATAGTTTATTCCTATTATTTTATTTGGCTTTCTTTTTAGATTGATTTCTTATTTATTATTTTCATATGCTTGGTGTTGTAAGACAAATCAAAGTCACGTTCTGGTTCTGACTCTAAGAAGGATGCAGCGGTCATAAAAGATGGGAACTCTGCACATATTGCTGCACAAACGTTTACTTTTCGTGAACTTGCTGCTGCTACTAAAAACTTTAGACCAGAATGTCTTCTTGGTGAAGGGGGTTTTGGTCGTGTGTATAAAGGTCGCTTAGAAAATACGGGGCAGGTTAGTTAAGTCTCTGAAGTGATTTAATTTTAGGTAGACCAATTTTGTAGTTTTTCTACAAAAACTTATATCACACATTATAAATTTTCTATATATATTTACATTGTATATTGATAAGTAATAATTTTGCAGGTTGTTGCTGTGAAGCAACTTGATAGGAACGGTCTTCAAGGAAACAGAGAATTCCTTGTGGAGGTCCTTATGCTCAGTCTATTACATCACCCCAATCTAGTCAATTTGATTGGTTATTGTGCTGACGGAGATCAACGCCTTCTTGTGTATGAGTTCATGCCATTAGGATCCTTGGAGGATCACCTTCATGGTTAGGTTCTTATTTCTTTATGCTTATGATTACATTGGGCTGATTCCAAAATTTTGGCATTGTTGTCATTGTTTATGAATTATGATTATATTCTCCATATTTTCAATGTTAAGGAGATGGTCTGCCTAGAATTTGATGAGTATGAACTGCCAAGATGGATGTATGAAGGATATAGGTCTTAGCTTCCCTTGTTTCTTATTTCATGATTTTGACAAATTTTATATCATGGCACTATCCTGAAAACACCTTTGTTGTTGTATAGTGATTGGGCGTTGCATATGGACACAGTTATATAAAATGGTATAGATGTATGTGTGAAATCTAAATCTCCTTATTCATGTGCATAGTGTTTATTTGTTTGTTTATTTTTTATGCATGTGAAAAATAAATATTCTCCTGACGTCCTTATATAAAATGTGATTATAAAAAGAGAAAATAAATGAAGAATCTCCACAGATACATCACAATACCAAATGCAATATAATTCTCCTGGTAGAACACAGTTCTCCTAAACAATGTCATTTAAACTTTTCTGGCAAAGATTGAATTCACATAACATAAAATACATCACAATACCAAATGCAATATAAATCTCCTGGTAGAACACAGTTCTCCTAAACAATGTCATTTAAACTTTTCTGGCAAAGATTGAATTCACATAACATAAAATAAATCAATTTTTAAGTTATGGTATCTTTGTTACTACTTGCAATAGGCATTTAATAATTGTACTTATTGAATACACACAAGAACAAAAATCCTGTAGCAACTGCCCAAGCTTTGTCCAGCGTAAAATGAACTATTATGAAAGGCACTATAACATAAAATAGTGTATAAAGTTATAAAGTGATCTGATGAATAGTGTATAAAGTTACAATCTGATCCACATGAACAACTATCTTTTCAGTTTTCACAGTGCGTGTTCTTTTTCAAATGATAGTTATGTCACAACTAATCAACTAATCAGTCATCTGCAGTTTGATCTTGAAGTTGTAGTAGTGGCAATCAAGGGTTTCTTAAATAATATAATATAGAATACTTAAATAATATATATATTAGAAGATGGGCTTGGCAATTTGGTGAGAGGGTTATATGGGTATTGTAGAGTGGATTAGGGGTATTCTAGGTATAAATGTTTTAACACCGCAATCCACTTTCATAATAGTATAAGATATAAGATAATAATTTATCAAGCAACATCACTTTTGGCTCTGGCTATTGAAATTAGGAAATATAAATCTAGTGAGAAGTAATGGACAAATGGCAGGCTGGCAATCATGCAGTAGACTTTTGGGGAGGGGTTTTGAACCTACCCAGTTTTATTGTAAATGGATTTAAATATATTAGAAAGTTTTGGTTGGAGTTCAATGCGGAGTTAGATGACCTACATTAGATTTCGGAACAGTTTTGAGTAGGAAGAGATCGGTTTTACTATAGTTTGTGTTTGTTTAGAGCAGAAAATGGGAAAGGGAAGGGAAAATACATGACCAATATACCTCCCATCACTTAAAATTTAACCCTTACACTTCCAATCCATCCATTTTAAGAGGGTTAAGGAAATGAGCAAATTCACTTCTTTTTAGCCCTCTCCTTCCTACCCTTCACTAATTAAAACCTTCCTAACCGCTTCCCTCCCCCAAGTCCCCTCTTTATAAAAGCTATCCAATCTCAACATAAAGGTTGAAAGCATAACTATTGTTAGATATAAAATAATAACCCTTAACCCTCATTGTGACACGGAGTTCTGGTGTGATAGTTAGAGGGACTTTAACATGATACGAGCATTTTAAATTTAAATCCCACCGGTCACGAATTTAAAACGGATTTTCTAAAAATTGACACTGCTGTGAGTCTAGGTTTCGGTCTATAAAAAGGGCACTCGACCTATGGGGGCATGTTAGAATTTAGAGTAATAACCCTCAATTCTTACCACAATTTCAAAGTTTTGATGTAATAGTTAAATGGACTTTAACTGTCAACACTTGTAGGGGCAGACATATATTGTGGGGAGTGGGGTTAACTGCCCTGACCAACCTCGACAAGAAACAAAGTGTACGAAGGTGGAATTGGAAATTTTGTTGGTCTTGTTGTCATTGCGAGAAGAGGAAAACAGAAGGGAATTAGGGTTTCTATTTGGGTGCAAAGAAGACAACGTTGGAGTTGCGGAGGAGGCAAAATTGCAATTGTATCTTGAGTTTTTGTGATCTAATGTTGGCTCTTGTGATCTCGTTTGCGAGAAAGGGGAAAAAAAGAGCGGAGCGAAGCCGGCTCTAGTGAGAAAATAAAAAAGATGAGGTCACTTGGATTGGATGAGTGATGGAAGGTTTGCTTTAGGCTTGTCGTGGAGATAATTTGAGGACTATTTTAAATGGAGGGCTCATATTAAATCAATGGAAAATAGTTTAAAAATAACAAGAAAATAAAGGTTCCATATTGCGGCGGGCTAATAAAAAATTCAAAAGAAACTTACAACCCAATTTAAAATTCTGTCTCTATTAAAATTCAAAATATAAATAACCTTCTAATTCTACTATAGTTTATATTCTAAAATAACTCTATCTTATATTGAAATTGAAATCAAACTCCTAAAATTAAACTTAAAACTAAGCTCTAAAATCTAATAAAAGAAAATTCAAGTGTAGAATTTCAATTTCTAACAACCATATTTACTATTATCTATATCACATAAAATCTTCGAATCAACCCCTAAGAAACATACTTAGTATTAGGCCCAAAATATCAAATTCCTCCCCTTAGGGATTAACTCTAACTCGATTTTTGAATGGGCTCCCGAGTCACAGCAGTATAGGTTCTTCATAATCATACCTATATTTGACAACATTATTAGCCGAAATAGATTGGATGACCCATAGTTGACCCATTCCTACAGTGTCATTTGGCATTGAGTTAAGTGAGGCTTAGGAGTGTTAACCCTTCATTTACCTACCAAATATAGAAGCTCGACACATGAAATACAATGAATTATCTGTCTTAATTTGCCAAACATGAAATACAAAATGGTTAAAATAACCCTTTCTGATGCGTTAAAAGAATTGATCCTCCAAAATGAGTGGTCTACTAAATGGTCATGAATAATCCTTCATTTATATTGAAAATAATAACAATCTTCTTCATCCAGACACTAAGAAAAGCTCAAAAACTAACACAAATGTTAGCTAATAAAACTTTAACTTATTTAACTCTTCTTTACTCTAAATAAGTTTAATTTCTTAACCCTCTAGTTAATACTTCATCCTTTAAATCTTGTGCATTGTAGGACCTTAAGATTGCATGTCAGGGCCCTAATTTCAAAGTCCAAGGAATTGGTGTTTGATCTAAACTTGCTAATAATTATTACATTTAATAGCATTTGGCCATAAATGCACTATTGAAATACACCATATTGTATGAGAAAATTAACAACTACCCACAACAATTGATGTCTTTACTTCTACTTCAATCAATAAAAACGAATGGAATTTTCTCCCAACTTGACATGAAAATAAGTCAATAAGCTCTGAAATCTTACTCTTACACATGAAGAACACCAATGAATTCTAAAGTATTGAAATCGAATCTCAACTTGAAGTGAAGTCATCCCACTAGTTGCATGCTTCAAGATTGTCTAAAGCTACCAACATCATTCAGAAAAGTAAACAAATCCCTTGTTCTCCCCTAAGATTGATGAGGATCGCCAATTCCACTTAAGGCAGCTATGAGACTTTGAAAAATATAATAAATAAACACATTGAGCTTACAATTCAATAGGTTGATGAATTTACATAATATATGCTTCATATATTCAAGGAGGGAAAAAAACTTCATATGACCTAATATTTCATAGTAACATGTCTAAAAAGACAAACAAATATTGATGGCCAATTATATATACATTGCATATCATATGGAAAAAAATATTAGTATTGCCATAATGAAAATAAAGTTACCAATTGTCAGTTAATACTCGTTTCCACCATAAAACATAATGAAATTGAACTTCATGTGTTAGCACATGTTTGTTCACCAAGATATAGAAAATTCTATCAATTATGCTGATATATGTGATGAACTATGGATAAAAACTATACAGAGCGGAGTACAAATCCACCAAATACCCATGGAAATTTCAGATATGGCTTGTCACCACTCCCTTCAAGTGCCTCTAGAATCCTTACATAGTAATTTAAAGGAAAGAAAAGCATCACCTTCTCTATTTGTGAGACGCTTTTTCCCCCTTGCATTCTTTCTTTTCTTGTTCTTCCCTGGAGGCTCCTGAGATGAAGTAGGTTTTATTCTTTTTATTAAACTCTATTGAAAATATGCCTGTAATGAACATGTTATTAAATTATAAGTTTTATTTGTTGCACGAAACTCCGTCTGATTTAATATGTATTTTTAATGATCCATAGTTTGGACGAGCACTAAAAGAATTCATATTCTGCTAAACTTATTATTAATAAAAGGGTATTTTTCTCAAAAAAAATAAAAATAAAATAAAAAGGATATTTTCAATATATATCCCCAAATTGTAGGTATTTAGAAATTTACCCCCCCCCCCACCCCCACCCCCACAAAAAAAAAGAAAAAAAAAATCATTTTCTTGCCTTAAATTTACCCCAACCTTTGAATTACATCCCTATATCCCCATTTTAGTTATTTTTAATGAAAAAAACCAGCAAAATAGAATTATGCTTGACATTTTCTAAAAAAGCTAAACAATCTAATTTCTTTTTATAACAGGTTGGATAACGGTGTTTATAGATGCCTCTTGTACTTATGTTGTATATGATTTTGTTTGCTGATTTTTTTCTTTAAAAATAATTAAAAGAGGAATGTACAGGTAATTTTAACCAAAGATGGGGGTAATATTGAGGGAAGGAATAACAATTTGAGGGGCAAATTTAAAATTATAATATTTGGTGGATAAATTTAAATGATATGATTTATGGGGTATATATAAAAAATCCCTAATAAAATGAGGAATGTTACACCAAGACCTATATTTGCAAGTTGGGCTCTGGTTAAACTAATAGGTTGAGTCAGGATTGTTAGGCTTAGGTTTGGGTGCAATGGTGCGTGGTTTCGTTAAGGGGCGGGTAATTCTTGACTTGACTTGTGTCAAATCTGCTTATATCTTTGGATTTTATTCATGTAGCTTGTTCTTGGGACTGATATATGCCATAGCCATCTCCTTGGACTTTTTGGTTGATAAAGAAAATGGCATTACTCAAGTGGCTTCATTGTTGTCGTAGTAGTGGAATCACATTCCAAATTCCTAATTGAAGAAACTCTGAGCAGCGGGATATTGCCATAAAAACATAAAGCAATAGCTAGTTAGAAGATATGTGAATGCACCTTGGTATTGCAGCACCTGGCATAGTGATGGAAAGCAGGGGAATATGCTTCTACTTCTTTATGTCCCTTCCTTTTTCGAAAAATAATTATCAGGTGTTACCATTAAACAAAATGTCTTATTTGAAAATGTCTGTTTTTAGCACCTTGCTTGTATCAGTCTTTGAGAGTTAATGAGGATATAGGATGATAATACTTTTTCCCCTAGCATTATTTTCATATAATTATGAGAAGAGAAATGAGTTTGTATAATTCACATAGTGCAGTGAAAACCTGTGAACATTATGGTTACTTGAGGCAATTGTTCATCGTGCCATTGTCACATTGATATAATGGTGCAATTGAGGCTTCTAATTATTCTTAGCAGCCTGTGCTTTACTTTTTTCAGTAACATAACTCACTAAGTTTCCTACTTTTTCAGACATTCCACCTGAAAAGAAACCACTTGATTGGAATACTCGGATGAAGATTGCAGCTGGTGCAGCTAAAGGCTTGGAATACCTTCACGATAAGGCAAACCCTCCAGTTATTTACAGAGATTTCAAATCATCAAACATTTTACTTGATGAAGAATTTCACCCGAAGCTTTCTGATTTTGGACTTGCAAAGCTTGGCCCTGTTGGTGACAAGACTCATGTCTCCACTCGTGTGATGGGGACTTATGGCTATTGTGCTCCTGAGTATGCTATGACTGGCCAACTTACACTCAAATCTGATGTTTATAGTTTTGGTGTGGTCTTTCTTGAGTTGATTACCGGGCGCAAAGCAATTGATAATACCCGGGCTGCTGGAGAGCAGAATCTCGTGGCATGGGTAGATAATTCTTCCCCTCCTATAACATTTTGGTTTAATTGTGGATAAACACCTGTATTATTGGCAAATTGAACTTACTGCCCTTGTATATTGTTTCAGAACCCCCTTGAAAAGTTCCATTGTTGCAGATAGACCCCCTGAGTGAAAACCCATTGTCGTAGATGGAACCCCCAAAAAGGCTCAAAAAAGTTACGCTCAGGGGGTCTCTCTGCAACAATAGTAGAACTACAGGCCTAGTAACTTCAATTTGGCGATAGTACAGGGGTCTATCCACACTTAACCTAGATATTTTTTATGCAGTTTGACTATGATAAAGCTTTTCATTTAGCTTTGCCTGGCATCTATGTTTCATAGCATTCCAAAAGCTTGCTGCTAGTTATCTTGTTTATTTCAATAGCTCTGGAATTCCATACTTCAATGCTCCCCTACAGGTTACTTCAAATATAATAAGGGATAGCTACCAAACTACACGATACACATGAAACTGGACAAGCAAATCCTTGCATTTTGGTTTGTATGACAAATGATCTATGCCTATATAATCGTGCATTTTGAAGACGCTATCTAAGCATCAAAAGGTCTCAAGAATGGTTCTTCAACAATACAACCAAAGTGACATCTTCATGGAGTTGGCCTTTTTCATTAATCAGCATGATCTAAATATCTTAGAACAATTGTAGCTGAAAAACCATAATTATAACCAAATGATACATGGGTCAAAAGCAACGAGCATGCATGATTTTCATTTTTCAACCTTTTACAGCAGTTATATCAAGGTAAATGGAGTTGGTTGTCGAGTTTTATGTAATATAGTGCACTTTGATAGATGGGATTAGTGATTTCATGGAAACCAAGTGTCATTTTCACATAGGTAAAGCGGTTTGATTAGAATTGCTAAAACTCTCTCCTTGCTGGGAACACCTGTATTCTCTGAAATTCTCTTGGGATTTGTTTGATTGACGAAATTAGTTATAGTTGCAGCATTCACATTGATACAGTTTTTTAATAATTTTTATACTCATTGTGATTGCATCATTTTCAATTGGTATCATCTGTTTGCTAACTATTTCCTTTGTATACCACTTTAGTGATAATGCTGTCTCTGTGTAATAGTAGTACTCAACATGCGTCCAACTGAACACTATGTCAAGAGTTTCACATATTTTCCCTTCATTCCTTAAATTCTCCTATGTAGTTCATGGAACGCAACTTTCAAATGCATTGTTCTGAATAAACATTGCATTTACAAATTTATCACCCAAAAATATTTGCTGGTAACATTCAAAAGCTCCTCTTTTTCTTTAACTGCAATGTGTAGGCTCGTCCTCTATTCAAGGATCGGAGAAAATTTGCAAAAATGGCAGACCCACTATTGCGAGGCCATTATCCAATGAGGGGCTTATACCAAGCTTTAGCCGTAGCGGCAATGTGTCTACAAGAACAAGCAACTACTCGCCCTCTAATAGGTGACGTTGTCACTGCTCTCTCTTATTTAGCTTCACAAACATACGATCCAAATGCGGTTAATAGTAGCAGAAGCCGTCCATCCACTCCAAGATTAAGAGAGGACCGAAAGGCCCATTTACCACACACGAACTCTCCGGACATTAGACAGAAAGACCCGTTCAAAGGAATGAACCTTGGTGCAGAAGTTGGTAGAGGAGATTCTGGTGGAGACTCGGGAAGGAAGTGGGATTTTGATGAATCAGACGCAATAAGCTCTTATCAAGATAGTCCAGTTCATGGAGGGAAAAGCAAGAGAAGCATGGGGCAGGATCATGCACGTGCACGTGCAGTTGCCGAGGCTAGGGTTTGGGGTGAGAACTGGAGGGAGAGAAAGAGAAGTGAGTTTGGTAGCTTTGATGGTGCAAATGAGTAAGTTTTGAAGAGTTTTCGAGCATAATTTCTCATTATGTTACATTTTCTCGGTGTCCATGATTGTTTATCAGGATTCTTGAGTTGGGTATGTTCTAGAGTTCAGGTCTCAAGTTTCTTGAAATGAGTTTCTTGCAATTTGGGTGGGATGTTGTAGTATTGCATTTTCGAATGGGTGTAGATATAGCCCATTGATATTCAGTGCAATAGGTTGTGCATCCTTAAGAGGTATGTGAATCTTGAGTACAAGAAAAAGAGGGGGGAGGGGGAGGGGGAGGGGAGTTGTGTTATAGTTTTAGTATATATGATATTTCCTGGTGTTTATGCTTTTAAACTGTTGGATTCAGTCAATGAATGAATTTTCTGTTTTGTAATCTAAAATGTTCTTTGTCAATAAGTCGCCTTGTAGATTGTGATACCGCGACGAAAATTTTTTGGTTAGTAAAGATTGATAATTGGGTTTTCTGTAAGGTTGATGTCAATTTAGAAGATTGTATTTTGTTGTATTTGCATTGTTGGAGAAGGTAATTTCCCTGGATTTTCTCTAGAAGTTGTAATTGTCTTTGATCCAAACAACTTACATAAAGCAGTTGAAGGCTCATTTGGTGTTGTATATGAGCTTTATAAAGGGGTTCAAAGAGTTCCAAGTTATTGCATTTTTGGTGTTCATAACCATATAAGAATTACATGCCACGACGAATAATATTGAACTATTTGGCAAATGGCGATGCTAAATTCCTCCCTAAAACTTTCGCAAGTTTAAGGTTTGAGTTTTAAAATTTTAATGGCTGAGGTTCAAGATGTGTTTTTCCAACTTAGAAGCTCTCTCTGATAATACACTTCATACAGCTGTTTGTTACAAAAATACACTGTTTTGAGAAGAAAAGAAGAAGAGAGTAATGATCAAATAACAAGTCATTTTTCAAGAATGGCTCCTTCACAATTAAACTGAAACAAACAACTAATAATAAATAAGGACAACCCTCCCAAAACCATAAAGCTATAATCGCTCAGATACAAGTGTAAATTTAAAAGCTGGTGGCATTTAAACGCACCAATTTTCCAATCAGCTAATGAGATCTATTAGCTGATAACAGATATTACAACAATCAGTGAATTTAATCGATATCACCATTTACCCAATTAAGCAAACAGAAGATTACCCATAGTTCAATAAACCTTACAACAAAACACATAATTGAAAGCTAGTCCAAAGAATACACACAGGCCCCCTTCAACATCTCCTGGGTAGGTTTAAAATTTTCCTGGGCACACGATACATCCAATGCGACGACAACGACAAAGCCTTTATCCCAAAATTTTGGGAGTGGCTTACATGAATCCTATTTTTTCATTCAAATTAATTTGAATTATTTTCTCCTACTGATCAATAACTGGAGGTGGAGCAATAGTTCGCGTGTTGTAGGAATGACAATCGCCACACTTATGCCCAATAATGTGGAATAAAACTTCAGTTGTACTGCTGCAGTCATTACATAGGATCCACACCTGCAGAAATTCAAGTAACATTTTGTATGCATGGTCAAAGAGAATGAATAGAAAGATTTTGACGAATGTAGAGTAAAACAAGATATGTTTCGTATTGGTCTACAATATTCCCGATGAAAATTGACGGCACCCTGACCTTGTAGCGATAATCCAGAGGCATGACTGTCGCTCGTATCTGGGAAAAGGAATATAGAAGATGTTTATATTCACAGAGAGAAGATTTTTTCTACATTTATAGCTAGAAGAAAATTAAAATGTGCTCTGGACTTGAAGATCAATTAGTAATTAGTAAGTTAGATAAACATGCTTTTATGTCTCATGGCACGTAAATGAGGGCGACCCAATTCCACAAAATCCTTTCAGTTGGATGTGCGTCTTCCAGATACTACAAGAGAATTTACGTCATGTTTTTTTTTTAAACTTTTTCCGAGCTCTCGAGTATAAAGATATGATGCAACTTATAGTTCCTAAGAATATATTCTCTAAGTAAGACAGATGTGACCAAGGGTATACAGTTGGGATGACAGAATATTTTTTCTAAGTTGACAAAATTGGACACCCAGAATAATATTTTAATAAATTTGGATCTTAAGGTTGCAAGTATTAAGAGTACCTTGTCCCATTGCGAGCTGAATACATATTTTTCTATACAAGCATGTTCTTCCTTCTTAATATTTCTTTCTTGGCACCCTACACTCACCTCGTGTCATCCTTGGAATGAAAAAATGATTGGCTTGTTTCACTTCAAATTGCCTACGAAAGTCTTTTCCTATAAATAGAGTCTACATCCATAATCCATATAGAAGCATTCGAACTAGAATACCTGTTGACACCTATCACCTCTAATTTTGCCGATACTTCTAGTTAGAAGCTTCAGTAGGCATATAGTTAAATATTTCACTACAACTTCCTGGTTGAATACAAAGACTAATTGTTTATGACAAGCTGTAATATCGCAAAGTGAAAGGTAATTACCTCCTCGTCAAGCTTTCTCCAGTGTGTTGACATATCTACTACTGACTTCGAGCATATTGGACACGCGTATCTATTTGCAGAAGAAAGGAAACCAAAGATGAAGTTAAATGAGAATAAATTTTCCTTCTAAGAAAACAACGAGAAAGAAAATGGAAGGGTAACTTAGTAATAATATAGTTTATAGGGAGTGGAGCTTACTGAGCATGACTCAGCATATCTTCAAAACATTCAGCGTGTATTGTGTGCCCACATTTCAAAACACGTGTCTCGTTCAATGAATCAAAAAGATACTGCAGAAAAGCCTCTAACATTATAACATTTCAAATTTTAGCATAGAATAACAAAAAATCATGATATGAAAATTTACTTCATAACAGATGGGGCAATGGTGTCTCATTGAATTTTCCACGCATAAATGCTTATCACGCAAACCAATTGAGTAGCAGGAACCTGTGGGATATGTTAACACTAAGGTCAGTTAGAAACAGAAAATTTCAACTGAACAAGATGACATCAATACGTGCAGATAATAAAAATTTGTAATCAAATTCATCTATTCCTTATCATGTACAATTCAGATTATTAGATAATTCATTTGAGCTGACCGTTTCCTTGTTCTTTTCATTTAGAGAAACCACTTCCAATATGCATCAGCTATGGCTTGTTCGAGTGGACGTTAGCAAGCAGTTTCTATCTCTCGGTCATCAAACACAAATACCCTAACATAGAATCTTACTACAGAGAAATTGGTTAAGACATGTTTAATTTATTAAGTTCATAACAGCAGTAACAAATAACCACTATCAAATGTAATCAAAAAGTTGTCTAATCGCAAAAACAGCGGCCTTCCACTTCATTTATGAGCAAGAAAATAAAATGTGAATACTAATTCTTAGCCAACTTCCTGTCAACCATAAAACTTAGTGAAGAAAAACTATGCTAAAGTAACAAGCCTTGGATAAGCCCAAAATACCAGGCCCTGGAAGCCAGTGAAGAAAGTATTATTTGTAATATATTGAGCCGCGTCGACCTTTTAAAAGGATACCATGAAAAGGTCAGTAGGCTAAGTGGTGTACCAAAAATAATGTATAAAGAAGAGGAAAAGAAGTTAAACAGTCCAAAACTTGCAATGAGTTCTACAAAAAAGGAACTCTTGAACGAAAATAGTGTTCCAGTGATGAGTAGCAGATCCCAGAATACTACTTAGAAGATTGAGATGATTATATATACCAAACCAGATTCAACGATAGTGCCATTAGCATTTTCTGGCCCTATATAACGAGTCCTCCTCTGCCCCTAGATTCCTAAGTAAAACCCGCAAAAAGAAGGCCAAGTATCATAGATGTGAAATGTGGACACGAAAATGTTACACTTGGGATAAATAGGAAATCCTTTTAAGCATTGGACAGTTTGCAAAACAGATTAAGTTATTGTGAACAATAAATCGAGCCAATTTAGCCATGACGAATTAGATTTCTAACTTACAGGAAATATGAAGGGAATCAATACTCAGCAAATAAATGGCATGGATAATATACATGGAAAGTAAAAACCATAAACTACCTCATGATAAACTTGCAAAAATTCAGTTGAGTACATAAGAAAATCTTCGGTGTTAGGGGATCATGTTAACTAGATTAAACCAAGGCATATCTAAAGCGGAACAGGAGAACAAGTATTAAACCATAATAATTAGCTCATCATATACCTAGTATTTGAATTCTTTAACATTCATTAGCCACGACAAGCTAACAATTGTGTCCAATGAAGTACGAAATGCTTTGCTCTGACAAAACAACAGCTAGAGTAATTGTAGCAAAAGACCGTAAGGCAAGTTGTCCACGCTACCAACAGATTCCAAACAAACACCCCAATAAGCTCATATTACTGTAAGTAAATACCTAGAGTCTGTCAAACAAGAGAAATCTATGTAAGGATGGTTTTACTTCCAAATTGTTGAGCTCTTGTGTTGTTTGATTTGTTATTGAGGGCTCGTAGAAGAAAATGGGATTATAACAAACTATAGCACGGTTATCTTTTATACTATAGAAGTTAAAAGGGTAAATTTCATAAAACTACCCTGAACTATATGGGGTTTTGCATAAGCACTGTAAATTATTTTTATTAGAGAAAACAACCACAGATTTTAAATCAGCAAGAGAATACAACATACTATTAGACAAATATATGATAATTTTATGATTATATTTGAAAGTCCACATTAGTCATGTGAGAATAACGTAAAATTTATGGTAGTTAAGTGAGTTTATCTGAAACTTCCTGGTAAGTCCTGTAACAATTATGGTATTAAAGTCCTAAAAACTTTCGATGGCATGTCATATTTTTTTGCTAACTTGAAAGTTTGTGGTGCTTTCCCTGATAAATATAATTTATGGTATTTTTTAACAAAACTGTCTAAAAGTTCATGGTAGTATTATGAATTTTCCTAAAGTTAGAAATCTTCACTTGCTGTAAACCTTTAAACCCATATATCCTATAAAAATACATACTTCCCTTCATTAATATTTCAAGACAATGTGCAACTATTAAAAAATAACAGAACTGGAAAATCAATTATAAATAGAAAGATAATTTAAGATCAAAAAAATGGTGCATACCACACTTTTTGCAATGAAAGAAATTCTCCCGCCCACCAACTCGACAAATCCCACAATCATCACAATGATACTGCCCCTTGTCAGTGTCATCGTCGAAAAATTTGCAAGTATCACAGAAATACTCCCCCATTTTCACCCCACAGTTTGTACAAATTTGCCCTACCTAAAATCACCTCAAAGTACAAAACAATTACTTAAAGAAAGAAAGAAAACAAAAAAAAAACTAGCCAAAGATTTCAAATTCAAAGAATTTACCGGCTGCTCAGTATCACACACCAAGCAAATCACCTACAAGATCATCAAAAGATAAAAACTTTAAACCACAGGGTATTGAGATATTGTCCCCCCAAATCTATTTATAAAATAAGTCTTAAAAAAACCCACTAGTTACATCAAATGAAGAAATTTTCACTGTAGACCCAATCCCAGATTTAATCCCTAAAACCGACCCACTTTAAATTTATTTATGAGAATTGACCCACTTTGAGTTATTTACGGTACTAATTAGTCGGAGTTGCCAACCCCGACTAATTAGTAGCCTAATTACAAGCGGGGTCAGGGAGCAGGGAAGGTTTGTGGCTGCTAATTAATTTGGCTACTAATTAGTCGGGGTTGGCAACCCCGACTAATTAGTATTGCAATTAACTTAAAGTGGGTCAATTCTCATAAATAACTTTAAAGTGGGTCGGTTTTAGGGATTAAATATGAGAATGGGTCTACAGTGAAAATTTCTTCTACATCAAATTAATCTATCTAGTTTATATATATTAGTGAGCTCAAATTAAAGTAACAACGGGTAGTATATTATTTTCCTTTTATTCCCATGCATTCAATAAAGAAATGATAAAAAATAAAGAATTAAAAAAAAAAGATTCAAGATTCAAATTTTAAGATCTCACCTTCTGAACATCATGACGACAGAGCTCGTGGCGATCAGTCTGGTCAATATCAAATCAACATCAGAAACAAGATCCAAACGAGAAATCAAACAACAACTTTTTCACCAGAAAATCAATATAAAAAAAGATAAAAGAGAAAATTACAGTGGATTCGTTGTGGCAGTGTCGGCATCCGAAGATCTCGTTGCAGCAGGGAGCTCGGATCTTGCATCTCCTCCTATAGTGCTTGCACCTTATTCCAAAAAAAAAATCACAAAAAAATCACAAAAAATCAGAAAAAACAAAAGATTGATTCTTTAGAACGAAACCGTACCCAAACTCCAGCTTTCCGAAATCGAGGCGAGAATTGGTGGTCGCCTCCATCGCCGGCGAGAGATGGAGGAGGGCAAGATTGAGGAGGGAGAGAGAAGCGGAGTATTTTAATTGAAGAGGGAGGGGGTCAAAGTTTCGATTTTGTGGGTTTTGAGGGTGTTTTTTGTAATTTTCTGGGGGAATAAAGAAAGGGCAGTTGGGATTGGAACGCTGTCCGAGAACGAGTAATAGGGCAACGCCGAGCATCGGACCAATGAGTGGGCTTCCTTTGGACAGTTGGTGCATTAAATAATTTGGAAGATGCGGGAGATTTTTGTCTTTTGACAAAAAAGTGAAGCGGGTGCTTTCTTTTCTCTCTCTCTCTATTATTTATAATAATATAACTAATGCTAACTGTAATGTAATTGGAGAGGAAGAGTCAGAATACCACGTGTTCAAGTATCTTCAAGTGTAGGTCTTGTTGATACTTCAGATCTACTTGCTTCTACACTACTAATTCATCTCTGATAATCTTAAATTATGTATTTTCATGTGTCCCCTAAACTATGGAATTAGTCTATTATCTGTCTTTTAAATCTATTTTTTGGCCTCACATTGTCCTCTAAACTAATAAATATGTTTTCGACGTCTTTTTGTGAACTATGAGCTTCAGTACATAGTTACCCTTTTTCACTTATTAATGTCCGAGTATTTTAATCAGTCAAACTTCTAATAATTACAACTAGGACTTCGGTCTACACTATACGTGCATGACAAAAAATAGGAAAAAAAAAATTAAGAAATATGATGTGATTTCTTATAAGCGGATATTGTCGAGTGCGATGATTATACTTAGATTCTTTTCATATATAAGGACATTTTAGGGATTTTAAAATGCTGCCTACGGTGACCGACATGAGGGCTTTTCTTTAGTGTATAGTAGGCAAGATGATATACCTACAACTAGTCTAGACGTACTTACCCAATTTTAAGTACCATAAGGGGCATAAACTAACTTATAGTTTGGTGGTCATGAAATTGGACCATGTAGGTTTATGGACCGATGTAGTGACTTGGAAGTAACAACAATCTAGAGAGAGAGAGAGAGAGAGAGAGAGAGAGAGAGACCATAAGAGTTTGAAGTTGTGGAGTGTCGTCATCATCATCTTGTACAACAGCAGGCTATAAAAGACAACCTCCTGTAT